GAAAACCACCAATGAAAATTACTTCCTTAGTCCTCCTTTTTTTCCACTCATTTCCCCGCCCCTTGCATGTCCCTTTGCACTAAAACTACCACACGATATTGACATTCAAGCGACAAATGTCAGCCAGCATGCGAAAGGAATGCATATTGAATGCATAGGAAAGGGCAAAAAGATATAAAGGAAAAAAATAAAACTAAACACGAAACACTACTGAAGAACATGACAACATGACAACATGGCGGGCGAGTGGACTATAAAATACATATAAAACTCTAGGGAATGAAATAAAATAAAATAGACACAACCGAATGGCAGTCAGAGAAAACTATGTCAGTGTTGTGTCCAATGAAATATTTATTATTTGTCGGTTAAACCTAAAAGTGCCATATGCGCGTACAACTGTGGCACTCGCACGAATTTGTATGAATTTGTGGGTGCATTTATCTAAACATATCCCTGCCGTAAATCAAGCCGCTTAAGGTCAGAAGAAGAGTGCATCAACGTAGAGCTGCTTAGAAGATTTGATCAAACCATGTATGCGATGTCAGCGAGTTTGAGAGCAAATTGTTGATTTAAACCAACTCCTCAATAACCTCCCCATACTTCTATGTATTTGCTTATTTCCTCCTGTCATTTGACCGCTTAGGCGTATATTGTATGGCCACATACACCAACCCGACTCATTTTTATACGGACGAGTCAAAATCAGATAACAGGGTCGGTGGCGGAGTTTTCACAAAGGATTTGGTATTGGTAAATTCAGCTCACTGTAGTGTTTTTCAAGTGGAATAGATGGCTATACATGAGGTTGTCTGATTGTCTCAACTTTATGGTGTTTTTGGATAATCGTATCCATACCTTTTGGATATACCAGGCTGCATTACGCGCTCTAGAGTCTATAACAGTAAAATCTGAAACCGTAGAGAATCGCCGCAGATCACTTAACGTTCTCTCTGATCCCGGTATGGGTGTCTGGACACAGTAACATACCGGGTAATGAGATTGGGGGGCACTTCCCTTCCGCTTTTGCCATCACGAAAGAGTTTGTGCATACCGTTCTCCACTTTTAAGCTTAATGTAAGAGAGTTTTTCACTAAAGATGCTAACTCAAGGTGGAGAATTCTCACACGCGTTTGATATAACCAGAACAATGTCGCTGGAATGTGACTGACGGAGAGCACGTCATCTTTTCGAACTAAAAAGAAAAATATATCTACAGTTATAGATCTTATTACAGGACATATTCTATTATTCAGGCACGCAGAGAAGTTGGGCGTAACATCAAACGATTTATGTAGACTTTGCAGACAATGAGGGGAACCTAAAACCTTAAGGCATTTTCTCTGAGAATGCCCCGGACTTTGGTGGAATAGGTCGATATCTCTTAGGGCGCAACTTTTGGAGACCTCAGCTAGATACTCCGTTTTGCCATACACAGGTTCAATTAGCGGGTGGGAATCATTAGAATTCTTAGGGATATCACAATGGGACCGCTTGGGGCTTAGCTAAGCTGATATTCGGCGTCAACCAACCAACCAACTATGGGCACATACATGCTTAGTGCTTTTTTTTCAAGTAAACAACGTAACAAACTTGAAATGCCTATTAGATGCCAAATTCGGTATTTGGTAATATTTGATAGTTTGCTTGGTCTCTCCATCTCACTCTCTCTTTCCCTTGTCCCAACAATTTTCGAAGAGCCATAATTGAAATACATAAGTAATCTTTCCCTTCTTGCCATCCTTTTTCATCTTGTCCTTTAAAACAGCACGAACAACAATGTCTGCTTCGAAATCTAACATAGAATCCTTATAGCCAAGAAGTGCTGCTTCGGATTGTTTTGCCAATTGATAAGTAAAGTCTTATCTCGACGAGCAAAGATCACAATTCCTTCCTATGTGATGCGGAGGGCTGGAATATGGCATTATTTAATAAGTCATCATTAGAAGCTTCGACAAAAAGGATTTGGGGTAGATTTAAGGTCTATTTATGCTGGCTGGGTCATGCCGTCCGGATGGTTGAAAACACTCCAGCGTTGAAAGTAGTTCAAGAGGAAACAGAGGAAGAGAAGTGTGGGGTAAACACTTATTAGTTGCTTGGATAGTTATTATAGACGTTCTTCAGTCTTGGCTCGAGTTTGCAACGTCATGTAATCTGCCCAGAGCTTTTCTCCGCAAAGTGTCAACAAATATTTCCATGTAATTGGTTTGCGATCTAAAAGTTGCGTCTAGCATATGCCCACCAATATGTGTTTTACTTTCTGACATTGATTTCTTATATGATGACGACCCTGAAGGCTCTGGGTTTGGCTGGTTGTTACTGCGAAATTTAACTTATTTTATATTTAAATAAATGCCAATGCCAATGACTAAAGTCAAAGGGAGCATTTTCCTTTCAAATACAGATGTTTTCAGGAAAAAGTATAGCTACCAACACCTATTATTGGCCATTTACAACAGCTGAGGCGAGGGACCAATAGTTTATTCAAAGCCGCTGCCAAACGGCCGCTGTTGTCTTATGATGAGCTTTGATTTTGAATTCAGGAAATATACTCGTATGTTTGACATTCTCTGTCGAATGGCGAAAAATATAGATTTTCTACAATTTCGGATGTTGGGTCAAACCAGAACTCGAGCTCTAGCTTTCGAAATGATGGTATGCAAGGCAGCTGCTGTCATACGAGACTACATACACTGCGAGATAATTTCCAAGGAAACAAAAAGGCGAAACAATTTTCAATATCTGCTTCTGATAGTGCTCGATAACTCCACGGGCAAAACTTTACACCTTTTACGATCTCCATAAGATAATTTTCACAGTGAAAGATCAATTATAAAATCAAAAAAAATCGCTTAAAAAAGCGCAAAAAATTTCATCGTTTTTCTTTCCTAAACTATAGTTGTGTAACTACTTACAGACTAGTTCATTTTGCGGCAGGTATGCAGACGATATTTGCTCATGCGAGTGTGTATAGATGCACTGCAAAACGTAAAATATGCATTGCAGCGCGCAGCGCACAAACAAGTGCACTTGACCGTGTCCAATTTCAGTTTTTAAGAGGAAGCAATATGCAAAATTCAGAAAACAAAAAAAAAGAAAACAAAAAACGAAAACAAAAAAATGTTGAAATGTGGAAGAATGCAAATTAAAGCTGAAAGCAATGTGAAATTCACTTCACTGACACTTCGACATGGCGACACCGCGTAACAGTAAAATCGACAGCCGCAGTGATTTTGCTCGTATAGGGTGTACTATGTACATGCAGATTTGTTTGTAATACCACAAGTACATACACATGTACATATACGAGTGCAATGCCATTGACGCGACCTTTTCTTCACGCTAATGACTGGCAAGCTTTTTACTTATGTATGTATTTGTGATTATGCAGACAAGAAGGCTGACCGAAAATTATTGCATATATGTACCATTTTATATATATATATATACTCGTATGTACAAAAATATGTACAAGCACTATTTGCATATAAAGTGCACTTGTTTGCTCGCATAGTAAAAATTAATTTTGTAAAAATTTCTAAAATTACAAAATGCGCAATCATCTTGGCGGCCAATTAATTTAACTAAATTCCTGCGCAGTGCACAGTGGTTCCAACAAAAGTTCGTTAAATTCTCTTGCAGAATTTCATAGTAGTAAGTAATGATTTTGTTTATGATATCCGCTGTTAATAGAAACTCGGACATTTCCAAAGCTATAAAATGTTGCTTTTAAGCGAATACATATGAAAGCAAAAGAAACTTGGGGAAAGCACTAACTCCGATTAGGTGTTCAAAAGCGGCGTTTAGCATGTCAAAACTCGGAAGTTTCAGCGCCATAATTTCCGCCTAAAACTCTCATATACACTTTGCAACGCTTCACTTGGGTTGTTTTCACTGCACAGCTCATAAAAGCTGCATGCGGTGTGTGTGTTTGTGTACAAGTATGTACTAGTGTGCAAATGGCGGATGGCAAAGAGCCACTTGGCTACTTTAATTTACTTTCCACATCAAAATTATGTCAAATCAAGTTGTTTGCGGCCAAGTGGGCGGTGTTTTATATGAGCATTCATTCACTTGGATTGCAAGCGGCAGGTTATAAAATACATAAAAATAAGAATTTAAAAGTCACGCATACGCCATGGTGTACCTCAATTTCGAGCAGAAAAAAAATGTCAAGAAGAAGTATGTGTTAAAATGAAACGGACATTGGCCAGTTAAGTGCAGGTAAAAATATTTACCGAACACCGTTATTAAAATTTTAATAACAACCGTTGTGCATACGTCGAAACAATAATAATTGCCATACTCAGATTTAATTTAAGCATTCCGTCAACGATTTCTAGCTGAAGTGAGAAATGAATGTAACGTCCGCTGGACATAAAACGTGGACCATCTGTGTTTGTTTTTTGAAATACATCTCATTTGAAAAATTACTTCCAGAATGGTGTGTGGTGAAAATTAGGCATGAAATTCGTGAAAAACGAGTTTAGGAATCAGAAAACCCATTCGTGACCATGGCGAATGTCCGTTTGGTGCGGCTTGTGAACCAGTGGCGTTTTTCTACCATTACCGCCAGTATCGATCCACCAATGCTGATTAGAGGCTCAAAAATTTACCCGTGGTAAGGCATAACTGTCGTAAGAGGCGACTAAAATCCAAAATATCCCGCGACAGACGGGTATTTATACCGGAGCGACCCGGATTTTTATCATGCCAAGGACTGTCACCGCTGAAATATTCCCCGAAAACCAATTCGAACTACAACAACATCGTTTCGCCATCTCTTGTGCATGGCCTGCAGCTGATTCTATCTTTTCTTTTCTCAGAAGTAGATACCTTGTCGATATACCCCCTAGAATAATAAGTACTTAATGCAAAAAACTGCAAGCTACGAAGTACTACACATAAAATTTTCAATTTTTCCAAATCGCTTTACACAATTTAACCGAACTAAATAGATCATCAGCAATATTTTCTTAAAATTTCTTTTATTTACTCACCAAAATTCTTCCCGTTGTTGTTTGTCCCGATATAAGCTCGCCGGCCCAATCTTTTGCTTCTGTCATAAAAGTTCCTTCGAATTCTTGTTTGTTTCGTGACGCCTTCTGCTCTTTCTGTTTGGGATCGTTTGGTCCCAAATCGGGCTCTTTGCGACAACAAATGAATGCAAATGCCCGCCATAGTAGTACAATAAATAGACCAGCAAGGAAGGTAAATATGCTGGAGAGCAGAAAACACCAATATTTGCGTACTTTGAGACACTCATCGGCAGCGAATGGTGAATCTGTTGGATCTTCGGCCAATGATTCGACAGTGCTTTGGTCACACCCCGACATCCCCTGAAAAATAGTTTGATGTATTAAATGCAATGGATCAAAAAGAATAATAATAAATAACAAAAAGATTTTTTTTTTTGAGAGCAATTTCATATTTATTGCATAATTATAATAGTAATAAAAATATATAGTCGTTTTGAAAGAGAAGCAGGTTATTCAAGCTCAATTTCTTATGCTATAGATATAGATTTTAAGTACAACTCGGCGTATATGTAACGCAATTCACCTGATGATAAAATTTTAAAATAAAATCAGAATTACTTAAACACTAATAATTTTACAAATTAATATGCCTGTGAGGTATTCTAGCTGAATGACAAATGGATTTTTTTTTTTTGAGGAAACACACTCGGAGGTGTTGGCATTCTCTACCGAGGATCGAACAAGAAAGAGGAGCCAAAGTCTTTATACTTTTCATGACAATATTATATTTATATGACTCCATTTTAGGTTTAATTATTAGCTCAGGTATCTGGAAAAATGGCAAATGCTTTTTTTACGAATTTTTAACCAAAAACATCATATCTGTACAAATCAGTTGTATTGGGGATATATCATATAGACCTCCAATTCCAATGATTTTCGGTAGCAATATGCAACTTTTAAAATGGGTGCAGAATGCATTTTATACAAATTTATGACTCAAAATCTGAAATCGGAGAAATCGATCGTATGTACGTTATAATAATTCCGAACTGGTTGTCGACAAATCGTGTACCAAGTCTTTTTGAAATGCCTTAAAACCTGAGGGCTTCGTTTACATACACATAGACGGTCTTTTGTTTTTCGCGGCTATGTACAAAGCGTTACCGAGCTCGTATCTGGCAACACTATACATAATTTGAAAGGTCTTGACATAACCTACAAAACAACGCTATGCATCACTAGTTTGGATATTGGGTTCAACAGTTAAAGATGTGTAAACATGGAGTTCACTAACACCGAAATTCGCGCTATTTTAAAGTTTTCCTTCGTTAAAGGCAAATCCGCTAGAGAAACGTTCCGTGAGATTAATGGTGTTTTGGGGGATGGTACTCTATCACTTCGAACCGCGGAGGAATGGTTTCGACGATTCAGAGCCGGTGAAAACGACACCATGGATAAGGCAGCCGGCGGAAGACCTGTGACGACAAATACCGATCAAATCATGGAATACATCGAGTTAGACCGGCATATGGCATCTCGTGACATAGCCCAGGAGATGGGAGTTAGTCACCAAACCATTTTGAGCCATCTGCAGAAGGCTGGATACAAAAAAAAGTTTGATGTTCGGGTGCCGCATAATTTGACGCAAAAAAAACCTTCTGGACCGAATCAACGCCTGCGATATGCTGCTGAAACGGAACGAACTCGACCCATTCCTGAAGCGGATGGTTACTGGCGACGAAAATCGGATCACATATGACAATATCAAGCGAAAACGGTCGTGGTCGAAGGCCGGTGAATCGTCCCAAACAGTGGCCAAGCCGGGATTGACGGCTAGGAAGGTTTTGCTGTGTGTTTGGTGGGATTGGAAGGGAATCTTCGACAATGAGCTGCACCCATATGGCCAGACGCTTAATTCTACCATCTACTGAACAACTGGACCGCTTGAAGCAGGCGATCGACCAGAAGCGTCCAGAATTGGCCAACAGGAAGGGTGTAGTGTTCCACTAGGACAACGCCAGACCACACACTTCGTTGATGACTCGTCAGAAGCTACGGGAGCTCGGATGGGAGGTTTTATTGCATCCACCATATAGCCCGGACTTAGCGCCAAGTTATTAGCACCTGTTCCTGTCCATGGCGAATGCCCTTGGGGGTGTGAAGTTGAACTCAAAAGAAGCTTGTGAAAAGTGGCTGTCCGAATTCTTCGCAAATAAGGAGGGGGGCTTCTACGAGGAAGGTATTATGAAGTTGCCGTCTATATGGAAACAGATCATCGAACAAAACGACGCATATTTTAACTAAATCCGATCACTGTAACACTTTTTATAAAGCATTGAATGAAGAGCAAAACCACCTTATATTAGTCCACTCAACTCGTCAATTCGACCCGATCTAAATAAAGTTTAATTTTTCTTAATCTCCTGCTGATTTAATATACCATTCCTCATGCACGTGAAAGGTATAAAAATTATTTTAATTTTGCTTAATTAATTATTTTTCTATAATTTTGACTGTTAGTCCCGCCAGCACTTGAACCCGTGACTTTCCGCATAGTAGTACACATTGCTAGCCACTCTGCTGTAGCGGTCGTTTTACTGCTTCAGCTTAAGCTTAGTTCAAGTTGAACAAACTAATAGCCAAATGTTACGGGAATTAGTACCCATGTGATCCTAAAATCCATCTAAAATAATTAAAACTACAATTTTGAACTCGCATGGAAACAATTGTAAATAACAAGTAACTACTCCGGTTTAGTTAAAACTGCTAGTATCGGACCAGTTATTAATTTCGAATATTTTCTCTAAAAATATTTTTTTTTTCGTTTTTTGAACATTTTTCGTCTCATTTGGAAGCAGTATGTAAAGAAATTAATATTCGGAAATTTTATGTTAAGTGAATATGCCACGAAAAATTGACCAACTAACTATAAATGACTCAAGAACTTCTGGCATACTTTGTGAAATTTAATAAATATATTTTGATATTAATTAAGAGCATTTTCTTTAAATTATTCAAAATTAAATATTTACCATAGTCATAGCAACTCAAACCCAAATAATAATATGAAAAATAACAGTGCCTTTTAAACAAACAAAATATCAATATCATTAAATAGCCATAAACTTAATTAACAAAATAAACTAAGTCAAACGAAAATAATCGGCAAGCAGCAAATCAATGAAAATTACGCACATTAATGCTGTTTACAAAATTGAGAATGAATTTATTTAGGAACTTGCACGTACCGAAAATTTCCCACTCAGCAAATGTATGTGTGTGTGTATATTTATATAAATGTGTAAAGTAAAATAGAAAAAAATCATTTTTCTCTATATTCGCCGATCACATGTATGAATTCCGTACATGTTTATGTACCGTTGTACACCTCACAATGTTACTCATACGCAATGGTTTACTGCCGATTTATAGTCAAAACGTTTTTAGTATTTTTCTATGACTATTTATCAAGGTTACTCGTATGAATTTTTGCATACTCACAACGGGGAATAAAGCGACAAGATTTTAAATGTGTAATAAACTGATAAAGACGAACATGCATGACTTGTGGAAATATTGACATTGATGCTCTGATGGCTCAATTGGTCCATGTTGTATGCATACATGCATACATAAGTGTTTATAAACATGTGATTATGTGTGATTTTGGAAAATGTTTTGCTTAGAACTGTTTTAAGAGGTATCAATATTGCCAACCAGCCAGCACATGTGGGAAGATGTTAATAATGCGAAATAAATTGAATTATTTTGTAGTAAAATATTGAACAAATTAATTACTGACTGAATTGTATAAAACCTTGCATTTATTATTGGCTTTATGATGTAAATACATTTTGGTACGACAAAAAATTTATATTTATTTTTTAAAATTTTGAAAATTTTGCAATGTTTGTTTCCATATTAATTTCAATTATGTGGGGCTAAGTAGAAGTGGTTGCCAATTTCTAAACATCCACACATTTAGACCTAAGAAGACGCATTGCTGTGTTACCGAACGATATTTACTTTGTGGCTTATTTCTATGCATCTTAAATACCTAATAAATTTCAATTCATAAGAAAGGCCGTTCCCAAATCAATTTCAGTATAACACTGAGGCGAACTTCTGATCCAGGTGATCACTTTTTGTAGCCAATATTAATAACTCGTAAAGTATTTAATGCTTTTGATTGGGTTTTTTTCCGCAGAATATGCATACCTCCTTATACTTTTTATTATTATTCCTTTTTTGGATTCAAAGTTATATATTTTGTTGTTGTTATTCCTTGGAATAAAAATACTAAAGGCGTTTTTCGGCATAAAAAAAATTTTATCAAACTTTTTTGCAGTAAATAAACATGACACCGTTATATTACATTTAATTTGTTTCTAATTACTTTTAGAAAGTTAGTTTTAAGGCACAGAAAGTCCAACCCAGAGAACCAGTTTTCGACCATTTGTTGCAGCATTATATCGCCCATTTATCAGCAATAACGCGCCGAGTATTCTCTTCTGAACTTGCAAAACCTTTTATGCTTACATCAGACATCGGGCAGTGGAGGCGGGTACCTCGTTTGTTGAATGCCGCTGATGACGCATCACGACCTCATGTATAACCAGAGTTTTCCAAAGAGGATGGTGTCAAATGGCCATTATCTCCCTTGAACTTTTCTACGAATGGACACGATGATGAAAAAAGATGCCACGATGCCACGTAATGTCACAATTATTTGAGCCATATTATCGCGAGATGAGATTATTATCAAAATCATGAAGCAACCAAATGTTCTATCCATCCCAAATATTGGATCCAGTTTAGGAAACACGCATCAGCCACACTAAACCCTTACCTTATGAGCCAGATACCTGTAGACCGACTTTCACCGTATGTGACACCTTTTTCTTATACAGAGTTAGATTATTTTGGACCTATTATTGGACGGCGACGTGATAAAGAGAGGTGTGGCCTTGTTCACCTGCTTAACTATTAGTTGTCAGCCCATGCAATAATTTTATGTTTACGAAATTTCGTCAATGGCAGAGGTGTTCCAGTTCGAATGCGCAGTGATAGGAGCTCAAAATAGAGTGGTTGAGTATTGCCAGTGGTTTGAAAAAAGAATGCATCCAACGTGCAACTGAGTGGATATTCAATATGCCAGGAAACCCATCTACTGGCGGTATATGGGAACGAATGGTTCAATGTATATGGCGAGTATTGAAAGTCATTTTAAAGGAAACAGTAGGAATTTGATTAATTCACGACCACTAAACCACTTCCGACTAGGATGTCCTATTAAGATATAGTTAAGCTGATAAAATTTGTTCAAATAAATGATGGCGCATCTTGCAACTTTTGAA